AAACGATTAGCAACTGAAAACCAAAAATTAGCAACATCTTTAACAAATTCGAATAATCAACTTAAATCTTTTCATATGAAGATCGTAAAGGCAAAGAAAGCGAAGCAAGACTATATTTCTAAAATTCAGTCTGTCGCTCAGAAATCAAAAAAAATTACTAAAGATCAATTTAAAAAAGCAGTAAACAAAATGATAAAAAAAATAATAATGAATACTCAGCTAAATTCGTTAAACTTGCTACTAGTATAAGCAATATTGAGACGATTTCTCTTTCAGCAGCAACGGAATGTACTAAAGAAATAATAACTTTTCTTATTGGTAAACCACCAAACTATTGGATATCAACAGGAACTCTTTCTCGGTGGAATAAAGAAGTTGCCAAAATATCACTTCGTCAAAATCGACCAGGAGACCCACATTCACTTTCTTATTCATATGGTGTAATGGCTGATGAGAGTACAAGAGGAGATAAAAAGGTGTTTCTAGTTTGTTTTTTCTATTGAAATACAACCAATAATTACTCTTGCAAAATGAAAGACTTGGATAAATGTAATAGAGCTATGGTAGCCAAGACAGTAAAAGAAACAGTTGAAGAAAATAATTTAGATCCAAAACAGTGTCAGTTTTGGCTTACCGATAATACAGCATATATGTCAGGAAATAAGTCGGGCGCCATTGTAGAGTTTAATTCGCAAACAAATGCGTCTTCATTTAGAATTTCATGCAGTCTACATGCGCTACAAATAGCTCTAGTTGCTTTTGAAAATGCTGCATTCGGAAAATTGAATACTGTGTCGGGACTATCTTTACGTAAACATCATCATAATCTTCTCCAACTTGTCTACTATCTTCACAACAGTTATGGTGAGAGTAATAAAGAATGTCCACTAAATATGAAATCTAATACAATTCGTAAATTATATTGGACACTTCTACAATATAACTTAAAAAAATATCAAAAACCTATCTCGAGCCGATGGCGATATCAATTAATAATGGTGTGTCAATATCTTGAAAATTATAATGCTCATAATATTTTCGTACCTTGGTTCAATAAACAACTTAATAAATTTAAAAACATACCTGAAGGATATGCTAAACAATGGAAAGTTTTAAATGACTGGATAAATAATACAAAACTTAATATTCAAATAAAATGTATGGTACAATTTGGCAACTTTTTCTATTTGAAATTCTTTGAATTTCTAATTGGATTTGATAATATACCTCAGGTATTAGAAAATAATATATTTAAATACCTTCCTCCTGGGCACCGCGCACATGAACTTACTGATTAAGTTCTATTTTGGCTTGATAAATTACAAAGCGCAATTAATAACCCCTATATTATTTTTGAAAACCAAATTACTGAAGCACATTCAAATTTACCTGATCAAGAACTTACTATGTTAATACATAGTATAAAATCCGGGTTAGAAAAAGCTCAGAAAGGATTTTTAAAATGAATGGGTTGCTGGATCTATTTACTATTAACAATATGTCTATTAGGTAGTAGCAATGGTCCTGATTTTGCATGAAGCATTTGCCACGTTTTTTTAGACCAACTATTAAATATTGAACTAACAAGAAAAGAACTTCAGTATACTGAATTGCTAAAGAAAGATAAATTGGAAGGGAATATTCAGTCATTTGGGTTATTAAATGTATTAAAAGATCCACAGTTTTTAGAACAATTCCTTATCTTCTCAACGTCTAATTCATGAGAACTCTCTAACTTTTCTTTAATATATGACTTTGTTAAATATAGAATTTGGTCAATTATAATTCACCAACAGCAATTAGAAGGAATGTTCAATAGATATGATATAAAAACTCACCCTAATATGGCTGACAAATTACAGGAAGCAAGACTACTTCTCTCTAGTCCAAGTAATACTTGATCGTGAAGATTTAATAGCTGTTTGAAAAGAGCGACAGAGTAACTTGACTAAAAAGGCCAATGAAAAGCTTGGTGAGGCGGCTACTAAAGATATTTTAAAAGAGTTTTTAAAAAAAAAATAAATTAGTGCATTAAAAAAGAATAACAATAAATGCAATAAATGCGTTTTGAAAAAAAAAAGATCAAATCTGCCCAAAGATCTATTCGGAGATTTTAAATTCCCATAATTCCCATTATAAAATCCTAACAATTTGATTTTATTATATATGTGAACTATGTTTGTAAATCATTTGGCATGTAACACTCCATATGGTGGATAGTTGTGTGTTGGGTTTGTTCTGCATGATTAACATATTGCAATATGGTCAGCAGGTGGTACAGGATTTGTAACTAATGGTATATAATTTTCAAGCAAGTATAAAATATTAGGATTTTGGAGAATCCACATTGATTTTTCTGGATACATAAGTCTGAAGCAAATGGAGCAAGGAACACACGAGAATTGACACAGAATGGTATTTTCAAATTTATTCATTAGTGTTCTTATTTTTTCCAAGATAACCCATATAGATATTTCTGGTCAAGGTAAGTTATTGAATTGGATATTGATTTGGTTTGAATGTTGCGAGTTATTATTATTGAAGGAAGCTAAGTCAATTATTTCTTCGTTATATTCTAGAGGTTCGATCTCAAGAATATTGTGTACATGAAATGATATATTTTATTAAAAATATTTAAGAGTACTTGTTGATAATGTAGATTTATTTGTATTTATTTTTAAAGAATTTGGTGGGTATTTATAATTTAAGAGAGTAATATCTAATGTGATTTAATATAATATTACTAAAAATAGATATTACTTAAATTTGTTATATCGTTTTATTGTTAGACGGTGGCAATATCAAATGATAACTTAAATAGATAATTATGTTGATTGTATTTATGATCGTATTAGGAAATAAATATTTATTAAAGTATGTACGTATTATTTGATTTTTGTTTATTATTAAGTGCTGTATATGGTAAAGATATGTGATATATAAGTGGTTTGGATTTTTTTAGTATGGTCATAAGCTGGTATGCATATTTTTAAATTCATGATTTCGCAGATTTACAGATCCATGAAGTTATATGGTATTATAAAAGTGAGGTTTGGTTTTTAGATCATATGATTATTTTTCTAAAATTGAAATTAGGTATGATTTAATAACTTGGGCACAGACATCGAATTTCTCAATAAGTTTAGTTTTGATTAGAAATAATTTACATGATTGCTGATTTGATCATGTCAATATTATTGGTTATAAATTATTAATTTAATGGTTAGTAATAAATATATTTTTTTTATTTGGTTTGTTTAGAGATAGCGTTGTTGTGATGATTTTATATACAAATGGGATTAGGTAAAAGATAAAGGATAAAATTGTTTTGGAATGGAATTAAGAGATATTGTTATATAAGCATAGAAATTATTTGGACAAGTATTTGATTTATATTTTATTACGTTTAGAAGATAAGTATTTTAATTTTAGTTACTTCGATTATTGATGAAATTTTTTTTTTATCATTTTCAATACTGGCGTTTGGTTTTAGTCAATGTCACGTATAAAAAATTGTAATAGATTATTTATATAATCAATTTGTTATGATACTAGTCACAAGTTTATTTAACCGGGTTTTATTTATAAGAATTTTGATTATTAATCTTAGAGTTTTTTTTTATAATAATAATAAAAAAAGGTAACAAGTTGTAAATTTGTGAAATAAGGGAGAATAAGTTTGATAGATAGGGTTTAGGGCCCGTAGTTTAGTGGTCTAGATGCCTAAACCCCCATGGCAGGTCGACGGTTCAATTACAGCTGGAGGTTTTTCTTCGGATTTTCCTCTGTAATCATTGAAGCCAGAAAATAGAATGTGAAGTCCTATGGCGAAGTCCAAGTGAAGTACATGACTAGATTAAGGAATTCCTGGAAAGGAGACCCGAACCATAGAGCAGGTAGCATTAATCATAATGAGAGAAGCAGCAGATATGGTAAGGGGCTGTGGATAAAGGATAGATCATAACTAGAAATAGAACACCTCTGGCAAATATACCGGAAGACCAAAATAGGAAATCTGTATAAAGTGGCAATGCCGACTGACCTAGGGGCGTGGTAAAAACTTAAAAAGGCATGAAGCACAGGGCTGGTAGTAGAAATACATAAACAAAGGGAATGCGCAAAAAGCATAGACTTACCAATTCTAGAAAACTAACCAATTCAGACAAAAGCTGGGAGTATTCATACAAAACCCCAATTGGGAGTAACTATAGTTACACAACATAGCCCAATCTCGACCAATACACAGGAGCTCTGTAAAAGGAAAGAAGGCTGCATATAGCAAAAACTGAAAACGTCAAGTGATTACCAAACTAGGAAGTATATCAAGTAAAGATCATACGAATGCCTTAAAGGAATTATAAACCGAGTTACCTGTCTGGGAGTTGACGGTTTCTATATGAGAAAAGTGGCGGATATAGAGATAAAATATAGAGGTTGAAAGGTATATATGATCTAAATCCTGAATCACAGTGGTACTAATGGGATATCAATAATAATTACAGTGTAGACATTAGGTATCGGGTAAAGTAGCCCTATAGTTCAAGTTAAGGTTATGATTCATATATAATAGATTATGTAGTTAATTGTATATATGTAAAAATATAATAAACTTAGGACAAAGATGTCTGGTCTTTAAACCGTAAAAAAAATAAATAATAAGTTTGATAGATGAATTTATTTGAAATATTGAATTATTCAAATTGTTAGCGAGTAGTAAACAGTTACTTTTATTTTTATATTATATGGAAATACATATAGAATTATTCACGCAAATAAAGATATATTTATTTTATTATTTATATATACAGGAAAGTAATATATAAAAATATAAGTATATATAAATATTACAGACAAATATATGAATATATGTAATAATAGATATATAATAGACAATGGAAATAATTGTGTAAGATACTTTATGTATCAATATGTAGTACAGGTTATTCTGTTTTCGAAAACACGAAGAAATGTTAATTGTTATTATTTATTTTTAGAAAAAAAAAGAAAAAAAAAATATATGATATAAAGTATAAGTATATAAATGGTAATATACTTATTTATTCGGATATTTGATTAGACAGACCTGGATTCGCTGTTGGAGTTTCATTTAAAGTATTATTCGCTAAGTCAGACACTCTTGGGCGAGAAGTGGTTCTAAAATACGGTTTGGAGGTGGGTGTGGTTTTTTTGCATCAGATGTTTGCTTTGACTCTGGTGGCTATGGTGTAGGCAGCTATATTTTGTTGATTTGTTTCAGTTGGACTTTCGGATTCTTATGAGAGTTGTATTGGATTATTTTTAATAATTGTGTTTAATTTTTGATATTCTGGGAACGAAACGTTACGTATATGAACTATGTTTTTGTCGTCAGTTATCATAAGTTCTCCATTAATATATAATACAGAATCTTTTTGCACAGAGGCGGTCACATTTGTTAAATAGTGTGTGGATACAAGGTGATAACATGTAATATTGATGTTATTGTTGTTTTGGTTAATGTAATTTCTAGTCATGACATCGATGACTACATCTTCATTGTCAATTTTTGGGTCTTTTTGAACTGTTGCAATCATGTTGATTAATATCGGAAATGTAGGTAAATTGTTAAAGTCAAGAGTACTGAAGCGAATAACGTTATTTAAGTTAATCTTTTTTGTTAAAAAAGAAAATATATATATATATATAGGTTAATTTATTTATTTATTATATATTCTTATATTAATAATAAAAATAAGATGCTTTTAGAATAAGATATTTTTCGTTATTTTGATCCACATTTTCGACGATGCAAAAATTTCCGGTAGTAAGTACTACATCTTTATCTTCAAATTCAGGCAAGCTTAATTCTTGAATAGTATTCTTAGGATAAAATCTAATTAAAATAACATTCAGAGAAGAATTTAAACTTCGGGATCTTACAATAGCAGAAGCTTCAACTATCGAAAGATTTTTATTAGGGATCAATTTTTTTCGGTAACTCATCACATAACATAGCACAGTAACGGAAGCAGACATTTTTTTTAATTATTATTATTATTAGTTGGGTAAGGAATCCGATGAAAAAAAGATAAAAAAGAAAGTAGCGAGATTCGGGTCTATTTATTATTTAATAATCTGTTTATTATAATTATTATTTAGATTAAACGATAGCAGTCATGATTAATCAAATAACATCAGAATATTATTTATTTTGGGTTAGAGTAAGAAAAGAACAGATAAGAGCAATGAATATTTATACAATTGCGATAGGAAAAATATTACATGTTTTTAACATGTTTTTTTTTTTTTTTTGCAGGAAGAAAAAAAAGAAATCCGAGATAATGTGCATAAAGCATATAGTATGTTATTTCAGTATTTTAATCAATTGCATATTATTTAGATATGCTTATACGTGTTATTTCAAGCTTAACATCATAAAATCGGTTGTAAGTCATTTTAAAATAATTTTTAATTTTTTTATGTTTAATAAACAAAAAAGAAATTGATTCAATTAATTTAACCAGTTTTAAGATGTTTTTAAATGATTCAACTAATGGGTCAAGATATGTTGAGCGCATCAGGAACTAAATTTCAATCAACAGAAAATATTTTTAATCGATTATCAAGCTTGTTATTAAGATAAGGTAATTTATTATGCGAAAGAAAATTTTAAACAGTAATAAATGAACAGTAAATTATATTTGGAAAGAAAAAAAAAAGAAATTTGAGCTGTTTGAAATAGCATATATATTATGAGTGTATAGTACATTATTTTAATCATTTGCACATTATCTAGGTACACTTATACACGTTATTCAAGTTCAAATATCATAAAATTAGATATTACATTATACTGTATAAGGTGTTATTTTAAAATGTTTTTTAATTTATTTAAGCCAATAAATAATTTTTATTTAAAGTGATATGAAGACAAACGAAATTGCGTTATGATACTTGTGCATAATTCCAGTCAGTACATGAAATCACATATATATTGGTACTTGAGAATGCTCTTAGACCATCAATTTTAGATTCAAGCTGTGTAGATAGCTGGAGATTTTTTGGTATTAATTACAAATACGATAAGATTAAATCTGAATGATCATTATAAGTGAAGTCTGTATTCTTTATTATATTTATTTATTTATTTTTTTTTTTAAATATTAAGGTGACCACTTAGGCCCTTGGCACTTTATTAGTACAAGTGGTAGGCCAATGTTAATT